CCATATTTAATTTGTTATGTTCCTTATTTGGTACTCAATTTTTGTCTCTAGTTTGACCTCTCTTTTGTGTCCCTATGTTTATATTCCTTTCTTTTTCTCTAACCAGTTATACCATTTTTGCCATACTGAATAATAATCTGTATCGTCTTTTTCTTGTAATTCTTTTGTAAGTCTATCCATTTCTGCACATTCCGTAATTTTGGTGATTACATTTTTCTTACTTAAAGGGAGAACCTCCATGTCTCCTGTTGGCCTTTTTCCTGTCATTCAAAACATGATCTGGGCATATTTTAGTTTTATTCCTTCTTTTCTCTTTAATAGAAACCCTTGGATATGTATTATATATTATAGTGAAACCATCACTAAGCAAACAGCGAGGATACAGATCTTCCAATCAGCAGCCATTCAATGTATGGTCTGTCCATATCCATCACAGCTTAACATATACTCTTTCAGAACAAGTAGCTTCACTGATCGTTCCCCAGAATAGCAACAACTGAAAAAGATATAGTAGTTGTTAAGAGACAAAAGAAGAACCTACAAACTTTATAGTGATCCAGATAAACTGCGGTATTATGTAAAGGAACAAGCAGCCAGAAAATAGGCTGCAAACTTAGCATCCATGAAGGCCTTTATCTTCTTATGAATTCAGTGGGTGTCTGTCCAAGATGTTTTCCCATTGTTCCCATTTGTCTAGGTTTATACAGTGTTTATCTGCTTCTTACCACTCCTGCTAAAGGGTTTCCTCATTACTCTGTACTTTAGCTTACTAGTTTAACTATAGGTAGTGGTAGTCCTCGATTTACAAGCACAATTGAGCCCAAAATTTCTGCTGCTAAGTGAAACATTTCTTAAGTGAGTTTTGCCCCGTTTTACGACTTTTCTTGTTATGGTTGTCAAGTGTATCACTGCAGTGGTTAGGTTAGTAAGACGGTTGTTAAGTGAATCTGGCTTACCCATTGACTTTGCTTGTCAGAAGCAAAGATGATCCCGGGATCCTGCAACCATCATATATATATGAGTCAGTTACCAAGTGTCTGAATTTTGATCATGTGACCTTGGGGATGCTATAAAGATTGTAAATGTGAAAAGTCACTTTTTTCAGTGCTGTTGTAACTTCGAACGATCACTAAAGAACTATTGTAAGTCGGGGACTACCTGTATTATATTATATTGCTTTCCAAAATGTATTTATACACACACACACACACTCACACATGCACACATACATACATATACAGACACACATATATATATACAGACACACACACACATACATATATATATATATATATACACACACACACATATATGCATATACACACACAATTATCTGTGTGTGTGTGTCTATGGGGCGTGGTGGCTCAGTGGCTAAGAAGCTGAGCTTGTTGATCGAAAGGTCGGCAGTTCAGCAGTTCGAATCCCTAGTGCTGCATATCAGGGTGAGCTTCCGTTATTTGTCCCAGCTTCTCCAGCCTAGCAGTTGATGACAATCTAGCAAATAAGACCAATCAAAGGTTATTGGCAAACCCAACAGGCCATGAAGTAGCCATTCTCTTTATATGCAGTCCTGCACCACAGACAGAGCATTCGGAACTGATGCAGGCTTAAAAATATATGAAAAACAAGCCAGCAAGCATTTCCCATCTAGGGAAACGTGGATTGGAAGCCTTACCTTGTTTCTCATTTCTAAGGACATCTTGGCTAAATGAGTTTTCCGAGGCTGGAATTATAGAGTGCGGAGCCTCAATAATCAGCCCAAGAAAGGGAAATAGCCCATTTTTGTTTGTTTGTTCATGAGCTACTCCATGATAAATTGTTGCTGTTTACTAACGGTATACAATCCAGTACTGGTGGCTGTTCTAAATTTCATTCTACACAATCATTAAATAAGTAACAAATGCACAATCTTGGGGGCCACATTACATTTTCACTGGTATTGAACGTCATACTGTTGAAAGTGTAAATCTCTCCAACAGAATGGAGCAACCTATATGTTAATATTTTATAATAAGAAAAAGATGTCATACCAAAATAGATTGTATCAAAGGGTTCTTAGACCCCCTTTTTCCCACAGCAATGTTTAAATCAGAGGGTTGGGATTATGTTACTAATCACAATTCTCAAAGCTCTATAGAAGATGTAGTTTAAAGCACTTTAAATGCATTTTATGCATCTCCACCACCACAAAGTGGGTTCATCCCTATCATCATTATAATGGAGAACTGACATTTTTTTCAAAGCATCTCAATCTTTTGAACTCAGAATTCAGAGATTTGGGTCTTTATTTCAAGGACTTACTAAAACCAAAGAGCTCTCCCTGGATAGACAGAGTCATGGCTTGGTGCCCCCTTTAAAAACTAAACTGAAACATTTCTTTGATTTAAAAAAGTTGTGAGCTTTAAAAGCCTCTGAGATTCTTCTCATGCTCTTAAAAAAGTCCAAATCAGAGAATAATTTCCAGTTAATGTACTCACTTTCCAATAATGTCTCCCCACTTGATTCCCTAGGGCCTTGACTTTCAGATTTTGAAGATATTGAACCTCACTTCAAAATAATATGGTAGTAATAGCACTTAGACTTATATACCGCTCCATAGTGCCTTATAGCCCTCTGTAAGCAGTGTACAGAGCCAGCATATTACCCCCAACAATCTGGGTCCTCATTTTACCGACCTCAGAAGGATGGAAGGCTGAGTCAACCTTGAGCCAGTCAGGATTGAACCCCTGGCAGTCAAGAGAATTAGCCTGCAATTCAGCATTTCAACCACTGCACCACCACGGCAATAATAACAATTGTGACACATTTTTAAATGTTCAGTTGACTGAGTTTCATGTTTAATGAATAAAAGAGATAATAATATACTTATATGCTACCTTAATAGCATTTAGGTCCTTGGTTAGGTCTTCAATTGTTATGTTTTTACCAATCCCAGACTGTGAATCTAATTGAAGAATAAATCAATAATAATAACAACAACAACACCCCAGACTTAACAATTGTCAATAAGAAAGACAAAAAATGTCTGGATAGTGGATCTGGCAGTGCCTGGAGACAGCAGAATAGAAGATAAAGAACTGGAGAAGATAACAAAATACAAAGACCTACAAATAGAAATAGAACGACTGTGGCAAAGTACCAATAATAATAGGCACCTTGGGTGCAATCCCAAAACAACTCGAGCATGACTTGAACACCATTGGCATTGACAAATTCGACATCAGTCAATTGCAGAAGGAGGCTTTACTTGGAACAGCTTCCATCCTGCAACGATAATCTGTAACGCTGTCAAACATCCAGATTTTTCTTTCCCAGGTCCTTGGTAACGACTTGATAGGTAGACAAAAATGCCAAACCCAGTCTGAACATCTGGCTGACTGTGCGATGAATAACAACAACAACAATAATAATAAACAAAGAAAACATCCTACTCAAAACTGCCTGTGTACTCAGATGCTACCTTAACAGCTCTTAGATCCTTGGTTACAACTTAAACTGTTATGTTTTTATCAGTCCCAGACTTTGAATCTAAGTGAAGATTAACAACAATAACAACAACAATATATGTGTGTGCGTGTATACATACATGTTCCGAGTTTATATATATACATATATACATGTACATATGTATATATATGTGTGTGTGTGTATGTATAAAAACTCGGAACATCATACAGTTTAAGAAGATATTTGGTCGATATCTAGAATGCTGGCAGCAACTCCTATCAACCATCAGCACCAGTAAATAATATTTGTGATACATTTTTAAATATTCAATTCAGTTTCATGTTTAATGAACAAAAGTTTAATAATAATATAAAATAATAATAATAATTCAACTCAACAAAAAGGTACATTTGATGTGCTTCAACAGATGGCAACATTAAATAATATGGAGCCTGATTAGTATTGAATTGTAATCTGTCCAGAATCTTTTGGGAATCAGGCAGTCTCAAAACAGACTAAATAAATAAATACCTTAGTTCTGGAGGAAAAGACTATTAGGAAATACCAGAAATGTTAGCTAGGCTTGGAAGTAATCAACAACGATAGTATCCTGGAAGAGAGTAAAGATAAATTAATTGTATGATGCAAGAACATTGCATCATATCCAGGATCATCTTTATTGGTCTCAAAGACATCACTATTTTTTTTATATTTTACAATCCCTTAATTATTCTCCAGATTTAATTGACATCAGGATCTCCTGTAATTATTCTTGCGCAGATGGTCTGATTAATGTCACGTGTACTTTAATCATCACATGGGCACAGAAAGTAAGCCAAGCTATTTCGGACTTCATAAAATTAGTTGTCCTGCTTTCTCAGCTAGTTTGATTTGGAAAATTCAGTTTGGGTCATAAAATCGAAAAATGTTAATTACCTGTTCAAGCCTATGATATATTGAATCATAGCAGTTGTCATTATTTATTGTATTATTTTTACTTTCATTTATATATCATCTTTTTTTCTGGGAGTTTAAAAGAGTTTGGTCTAGTGGTGGAGGCACCAAGCTAAAAACTGGGAGACAGTAAATTCCAGTCCCACCTTAGGCATGAAAGGATGGCTGGGTGACTTTGAGCCAGTCCTTCTCTCAGCCCAACCCAACTCAGAGGGTTGTTGTGAGAAAAATAGGAGGAGAAAGCGTTAGATATGTTCACTGCCTTGAGTTATTTATAACAATAATAAAAGGGGGATATAAATAAATGAACAAATAAACATAAAAGCAGTGGATTCAGGAAGAATATGATCCAAAGTCACCCAGGGAGTTTCTGACATGGCAAATGGGGTTGAACTTGGGTCTTCTCACTCCTAATTCAACACTTGGGTTATGACACCACATTGGCTGTCTGTATGTTTCAGTTGATTACTCTCCGTTTCTTCTGTGTGTGCTTGGAATCATTCGGACAAGAGCCTATATTATTATTTAAAAGCATATGTTTACAGCGTAGATGCATTTCTGAAAGATTGACCGTGAGGGTTTTTTTTTTTCTTCCCCAGGTTGAAGCAATTTTAGTAAATATATTTGGTGGAATTGTCAATTGTGCCATTATTGCCAACGGTATCACCAAAGCTTGCCGAGAGCTTGAACTGAAAGTGCCTCTAGTGGTCCGGCTTGAAGGTAGGTGGTGGAAATTGTTGGATATCTTTGTTTCATTTGATCTATTCTCTGATGGTTGATGCTGGAGCTAATTTTCTAGAATATAGAATATCAGAGTTGGAAGGGACCTTGGAGGTCTTCTAGTCCAACTCTCTGCTCAAGCAGGGAACCCTATACTTGTTCTGACCTAGGCTTCCTTAGAAAGTAAACAGCACAAACATAGTCCCAGCAAACCTCTTTAATTCAAACGGCTGTGAATTATTGTCATTCCCAGTCTGAAAGGCTTTTAAAACAGTCTATCAGGGAACACTTACCTTATCTCCCTAGGAATGCTGTCAGAGAACTAATTGCCAAATGCAGGGCAAGGCCAAACTTAGCACAGAGTCAAACAGCTTTTCCAGAGCTTTTACTGACTAGGTGAACTAATTGCTTCCTGTCTTCTGGCAGCTCTGTGCATGCACACACTGGGAACAGGCTCATGCTATTCTTCTGCCTCGCTGATGTCAGACTCTGGAGACTCCGGAGGCAGCAAAGAACTCCCAGATGGCCTTGGCCCCCTCTCTGCCTCTGACTCAGAGCCCTCATCCGAGCCTTCCCCAGACTCCAGGACTGGCCCACGTTCCTCCCCAATCACTTCACTGTCCGTCTCTGCTGCCAGCTCTGCTGGCTGCTGGCGGGCCACAACAATACCATTTCAGTTCATGTGAAACTAGAATGAGATGGTTGCTTCAGGGCAACAAATGCTGGAAGATGTGCAACAGAGAGAGAGAATGGCACCACTTGCCATTCTACTTGGTTGAAGAAGACTCAGCCTCAATGTTCTAAGCTGGCTGGACTTCAGCTAATATCCTAAAATTACAGCCCTTAGATATAATGAAAGATGCCGCCTGTCACTTGTCTCAAATCTCCATACAGCTACCGCTCTATCAGTCTCTAGCAATGGTATTGTTGTGATTCCGACCCCTGAGCCTGTCCTAACAGAGGGAGAGGACTCAGAAAGTGAAGGATAGGATTTGGCAACGCCTCCCTCTCCAGGACCCTCCTCTCTGGCAATGCTTCAGGTTTCCTCCGAAGGCCAAGAGATATGCCAGGAGCAAGGCACTTCGGAGCAGCCACAGATAGAGAGTGAGCGGGATGAATTTTAGTTGGATCCCAGACAGCGTCGGAAGGATAAGTGCGTGCAGCAGAGAAAGAGGCGTGGGCGGGCCAGAGATTGAGCTGAGTCACTGGACCACACCCCACAAGGGATAGAAGGGTGTGTGTCGGCTATTCAGGCCTTGTGATGGACAAATTGAAAAGCTCGGAAGTCATATCGTGTTTCTAGAACCCTGTTAGAATCTCTTTTGGGATTTCTTCGGACTGGACTTCGACAATTCTTTGCTTTGAGGAATTAATTTGGTATATCAGACTGAGGAGAATAAACCTTCCTTAGTGAGTAAAATCTCTTGGCAAGCAGTTCATGGTTCGCTGCCAAGACTGTTATCTTAAAGGAATTCCTGACTTTGATTCATTAACTCCTGGCTGTCTGTTTGTGTGTGTGTGTGCGACGGGGACAGAACAGGTATGGATAGAACACAGAATCAGCTATAGATTTTTCTTTGACAGAAAACGGTGTTTAATCAATCTTGATAAACATGTCAATGTTTCAGTCATCCACACAGGATTTCAGCCCATTCATACCTTCTCATAGCTTTAAATCTGCTTTCTTCAACCTGATACCTTTCAGGCATATTTAGGATTGCAAATCCTAGAACCTGTGGCCATCTGGAGGGTACCAAGTTATGGTAGGATGCTTTAATCTCGTCATGTTCTAGGTTCGGAGGGAGTCAGACAGGGGTGAAATCCAGCAGGTTCTGACAGGTTCTGCAGAACCGGAAGTGAAAATTTTGAGCAGTTCGGAGAACCAGTAGCAGAAATTTTGAGTAGTTTGGAGAACTGGCAAATACCACCTCTGGCTGGCCCTAGACTGGGGTGGGAATGGAGATTTTGCAATATCCTTCCCCTGGAGTGGGGTGGGAATGGAGATTTTGCAGTATCTTCCCCTGCCATGCCCACCAAGCCATGCCACGCCCACCATGCCCATAGAACGGGTAGTAAAAAAATTTGGATTTCACCACTGGAGTCAGACCACCTGCAAAGCAACAGGTCTGATCTCTGAATCAAATATTGTGGTTATTACACCACAGTTCTTATGGAAATGATCTTTATTGTTTTGACATGTTACTCTAGAATCTAGGAGGCAACTCTGCCAACAAACTTCATAACCATTTATCCAAGATAATACGGATGATGATTCTAGCCTCCCTTATAAAAAACCCACACTATTTCTATAATCTCTGGTTCCCCATACTATAATTCCTGGTTTTCTATACTTGTCTGTTCATTAAATAAATCCCACATGATTTGAGATAAAAAATTAGCAATAATTCATAACAATGAGAACTCCAGGATACTGCAAAATGAAGCTGAAAGAATACAGCATGGAACAACCTGTTCTCTTTGATGCATTTCTATGACAGAAGGTTCATAATTATTCCTATAAATCTTTAGCAGATTTGTGGCTGGACTTTAAAAAAATTCTTTGCTCTCCTGCAGCAGTATATTGCAGATGTCTTGATGAGTAAAGTTTTAATCAGTCAACTGTGTCTTTATTTAGCAGGATTTTCTGGACAAATCTTTGTTCTCAGCTGTGTAATAATTACAAGCTGTTTTACCAGTGAATAAAGAAAGGATTAGTCTCTCGTTCAAAAATAGTAACTTTATACTTACAGGTATTTGCTTGCTATAAAAGAAAGAAAGAAGGAGTGCTTCCCAACTGAGAAGTACAATATTTTTAAAAGTGCCCAAAGTGATTAGAAGAATCGCGTACTGTGCATTTAATGGATGAAGTAATTGTTCCTCCTGGGAAGTGCACCTCCTTTGTTTCAAGAGATTTTTTTATAACTGATTGTTGAAAGGGCTGGATTAAAATTAGGTAATTACTGCCCGTACAACCTATAAGAAGATTCTCCTAGACTACAGACATACACAAGGAGATTGATGTATCTATTGTATCTCTGGCTGCCAAGGGCTACGTAACAGGAATTTACATCCATAATATATTTAAGCATCCATTGGTGACCTTCTTTTGAATGGAGCAGGTAGCTTTGTGAGAGAGAATTCAGCCAATGCCAAGCAGCCAAAAGTGAAGATACCATACAAGTAGTCCTTGAATTAAGCCCATAACTGAATCTACAATTATGATCATAATTCATGCTGATTGACAAGTGGGGCATTGTGTGACCGCCCCTGATTTTACCGTCCTTTATTTTTGCAGCAGTCACTAAGTAAATGCCACAGTTGTTAAGTGAAACCGTTGTTCACTATAGGTGTTTTGTTGCCAGAAAAACCAGAAGTAAACGCCCGTTTCCAGTGAAAATGTTTTAAATCACAAAATTGCCCGGACATTGCAAACCAAAATATGATCACGTGACCATAGGGAGGCAAGGCCTGCAAGTACCTTTTGGGGTTCATTGTAACTTAGAATGGCCACTTAGTAGCTGATCGTAAATTGAGGACTTGTGTAATAATAACAAAAGGGCCAAGATTTTTTACCTTTTTGGAAAGCTAGTTTGGCCTGGCCTCTCAATAGAGACCCGCTAGGATGGGAGGTGGTTAGTGCATTAACAGGAAAGAAATTAACTATTTTTGCTCTGCTCTTCTTGAGTCCGTGTGGGGTTTTATTTAGCCTATATATAGTCCTCTGTCATTTTAATTGTTCTTATCATTGTTTTTACATTTTTATTTTTTAATTGCATTGTAAGCCACCTAGAGTTGTTTCGGACAGTGAGATGGCCGCATATAAATTTTGTTGTTGTTAGTCGCGAAGTCGTGTCCGACTTATTGTGACCCCATGGACAACGTTCCTCTAGGCCTTCCTGTCCTCTACCATCCCCCGGAGACCATTTAAACTCACTCCTACTGCTTCAGTGACTCCATCCAGCCACCTCATTCTCTGTCATCCCCTTCTTCTTTTGCCCTCAGTCTTCCCCAGCATTAGACTCTTCTCCAGTGAGTCCTTCCTTCTCATTAGGTGGCCAAAGTATTTAAGTTTCATCTTCAGGATCTAAAGAGCAGTCAGGATTGATCTCCTCTAGGACTGACCGTTTTTTTCCCCTTGCAGTCCAAGGGACTCGCAGGAGTCTTCTCCAGCACCATAGTTCAAAGGCCTCAATTCTTTGACACTCAGCCTTCCTTATGGTCCAACTTTCATAGCCATACATTGCAACTGGCATATAAATTTAATAAACAATAAAAAGTAGTTTGGAAAGTAATAGACTATAATATGCTGAGACGGTATGCTTTAAATAATAAAGATAATATAGATGTAAATCAGGACCAGGACCAGGAAATAAATACAGGTAGTCCTCGACTTATGACCACAATTGAGGCCAAAATTTATGTTGCTAAGGGAGACATTTGTTAAGTGAGTTTTGCCCCATTTTACGGCTTTTCTTGCCATAGGTGTTAAGTGATTCACTGCCGTTCTTAAGGTAGTAACTTGGTTGTTAAGTGAATCTGGCTTCCTCATTGACTTTGCTTGTCAGAAGGTTGCAAGAAGGGGATCACATGACCCCGGGTCACTGCAACCGCCATAAATATGAGTCAGTTGCATAGCGCTTTAATTTTAATCACATGACCATGGGGATGCTGCAACAGTCGTAAGTGTGAAAAATGGTCATAAGTCACTTTTTCCGGTGACAGTGTAAGTTGGAACGGTCACTAAACAAAACTGTTGTAAGTCAAGAACTCAACTGTACTTGAGTGAATAAACAAAAAAGTCAAAGAGCAGCGCACCATATTAGGGCTTCTATACACAGAGACAACCATACTGCAAGTTTTCTCTTTCTTTAGGTATTTTGATTAATGGATAGAGGAGAATCTGAAGAGGGCACATGGCACTATAAGATTGCACTAGTCCATCTCCATTTAGAATGAATGAGCTGGAAGGGACCTTGGAGGTCTTCTAGTCCAGCCCCCTA